GAAAGAAAGAAAGAAAGAAAGAAAGAAAGAAAGAAAGGATTGAGGAACAATGAAACAGAATAGAAGATGCAAACACAACCCCCAGAACACTTACCTTATCTCTGATGAAGGAGCCAAACAAGTTCACTAGAAAAACGCCTGTTTAATAAATGGTGCTGGAAAAACTGGCTTTCCACATAACAAAGACTAAAACTAGAGCCACGTCTATCACTATGCACTAAACCAAAGCCAAAATGGATCGAAGATCTAAATATTAAAATAGAAACACTAAATTTACTAGAAAAGAAAATAGGTAGAAATCTTGAAGACATAGTTGTAGGCAGAGACTTCATAAACTTAGACTGCAAGAGAAAGAGTACAAAGAATCAATAAAAGGGATTTCACCTTATTAAAAACATTTGCACAACAAAAGAAATCACCAACATAGTGAAAAGAAAGCTTACAGAGTGGGAAAAAATTATAGCCAGTTGTTCCTCAGGGAATGGATTACTATCAAAAACATAAACAGACCCAAAAAAAATCAGATACCCCACTACCCAAATTCAAAGGCCCAATCCAAAAATGGGCATCTGAGGTGAACACACCCTTCTGAGATGAAGAAATACAAATGGCAAATAAATACATTAAAAAAATGTTTGACATCACTGGTTATTTGTAAGAAGCAAATTAAAATAGCGCTGAGATTCCATCTCACTCCAGAAAGAATGGCTGTCATCAAAAAAAAATCAACTGATGACAAATGCTGGCAAGACTGGTTTAACCACTGTGGAAATCTGTGTGGAGATTCCTCAAAAAACTAGGATAGAGGCCCCATTCAACCCAGCTATTCCCCTTCTGGCTATCATCTCAAAAGAACTGAAAACATCATACCATGGTGATATATGTGCACCCATACTTATAGCAGCACATTCTGAATTGGGAAGAAACTCTTCAAAAGGAAAGACAAGCTGTTATGGGCAAAAGGATAAAGGAAAGAAGGGAAAAATATATACATTTATAAACAAAGTAGTTAAGATAATTATACAGGTAGTATCTCTTAATTCATTGAAAAGAAAGTTTTGTGCTAATATTGTTTGGATAGGATATTCCTATATATTGTGCTCTGAATAACAACTATGAAGACAATATAAAATGTATGAATTATTGTAACTCTCCTATTAACCTGTTTTGAATTCTGTTTCACTGTTATTTTTTCTCTTTAAAATAAAAAGGGGGGTGCTGGGGAACTACTTCAGTGGTCTAAGCACCTGCTTGGCAAGTACAAGGACTTTCGATTTCCGGTACCACATGCTGTGCTGGCCACTGAAACTGGGCATGGTAGTGCATGCCTGTAATTCCAGCACTGGGGAGGCTGAGGCAGGAGGATCATGGTGAGCCCAAGCTGTGTAGTGAGACCCTGTACCAAATTAATGAATAAATAAAAGATTAAAAAAAAAAAAGCAACCAGAGACCTTAACAGAATCTTTGTACCCCTTTTATCTTACTCAGGCTACTTGGGCACTCATACCCTTATCCTTATTGCCTTTGAGTCTAGCATTACACATGAATCAATTTCAGTGTCACCTAGTCTAGATCTAGCCGTCTCTGAAGAAGCCCTATGCATAACTACATGAGGCCTTGGGGGACATCTAAACACAGACGTAAGAGCCCCTTAACTTCATTACATTATCTGCATGCCAAGTGACATGCTCCCCATTGCAGGACAATGAATAACTGCCATGGCAGTGACTGGAAAGAACCATGAGGAGCACAAAGGGGTAGCATCTGAATTCCCATGAAAGACATAACTGTTTCTCCCTTATTACTCTCTCCGCCCCTTGCTGTTTTTATTCTACATCAATAACGCCCTTCCTCCCAATGAGTTGTAGTCTCCTTCATTGTTCTGTCAGTGCCGGATCTTGGTATTGATTCCATGATTCAGAGAGAGAGAGGGAGGCAGAGGGGGAGGGAAAAGAAGAGGGAGAGAGAGGGGCCCAGTTTGGGATCAGAAATTGATAGAATTTTAAAAAGCAAGACCACCAAAGTGAGTCTATTTTAAACCGGGCCTGTGCTGCAGGACAGGGGACCAGTATATAGGATGGAGCCCTTCTAGGCTAAACCCCCCAAATAGATAGGGTGTGCTGCTTACATAGCTGCTGCAAACCTGTGTCAGTGAAAGTTTCTTAGTTACTTTTTCATTGTTGGGATAAAATAGCTGACCCCTTAAGTTAAAGAAGTGAGGATTATTTTGGCACAGTTTCTACGATTTCAGTCTATGGCTTGTTCCAAGACAGAGCAGCATGGCAGAAGGACATGGAGAGGAGAACTCATGGCATGGTGGAAGGAAGCAGAAAGATCAAGGGATGAGGAGGGACGCATATACCTTCAGACCCCTCTCACAGCGATTCACCTCTTCCCACCAGGCTTCACTGTGTGATTCAGTTATCACAGCAAGCTGTAAACCCACCAGTGGACCGATCCAAGGGTGAGTATCACACCCCCATGATCCAGTCACCTCCCAAAAGCCCCATCTATGAGCACATGGGACTCTGAGGTGATACTTAATACAAGCCACACTTGAGGGGACAGAACTGAAGGGCTGGCGAGATAGCTCAGTGGGCTAAAGCCCCTGCTTAGGCAAGCACAGAGACCACTGTTCAACCCTAGCACCACATGCTGCACCAGTCCTGCCCCTTAGGAGGGCTAAGCTGGCCACAGAGTCTGGGCACAGTGGCACAGGCCTGTAATACCAGTGCTGGGGAGGCTGAAAACAGGAGGCTCACAATGAGTATAAGCTGCACAGTGAGACCCTGTAACAACCAAATACCTTAAAAACAAAAGGTCAGAGGGGACAAAACTGAAACTAGGAAATCTTCTGGAAGCTTACTGTGAATGCTGGTTGTGCAAATAAGTGGCAGGGATTCCCCCTTTCTACTCCAAGCAACCCTCTCCATTCTTCAGAAATGCAGTAGTAATAGCAGAATTGGCTGGAGTAGGGAAGGGGCACCACACTTGCTGACTGGCTGCACTCCTGTTGGAGTAGAAAATGGCAGTTTGATGGCCAGGATGGACACTGTTAGGGAGCTTTTAAAGCTTCCACTGGCAGCTGTTTGGAGGGGCGGTGGAGGTAGTTTGCTGAGTGTGTGTGTGTGTGTGTGTGTGTGTGTGTAGGAAACAGGATAGAGGCTGAGTTGGGTGTGGACAGTGAGGAGGTAGAGCTGTCAGATTTGCTATATTTAGGAGGGAGAATGGAGAGCAATTAGAAATTAGTGGTGAAGGAAGAGATCTGGATGTGGCAAACTGGTGAAACAAGTGGAAATATGCAGAACGACAACTCAAAAAACCTTGTGCCTGGAACCACTCAGAGAATACTAGTTCTCAGAAGAACCCCAGCATACTTTTGACAGTATGGCTTGGGTCAACCTGAGACTGGAAAATGTAAAAAGATGACCGGGCTGATCCTTGTGCTCACTGAGCACGCTCTTTCACAGGGGTCCACTTTTACCCCACAGAGCAGTAGTGGCAAACCTATGGCACCTGTGTTTTCTTTTAAGACAAAAGATGTTCATGTATGGGCTACTTTTTCCAAACTAAAACTTCAGTATTCAGGTTTCATGGAAGTGCTGGCACTTAGGACCAAACAAATGGGCATGGGTTGCAGCTTGGGCGCTCCCTTCTAAAAGGGCTCCCATCACTTGTTACCCAGCAAACCTTGTTTTACTTTTAATTGGCCCACACTAGCTCTGCAGAGCATGTTTCTTCTACTATCTTTTGTTCTTGTTTAGTCCAATTCCTCGTTCAGAGCAAGAAGAAACTACAATCTCTGGAAGCCAATGAACTTGGACAGCACAGCTGGGAACAAGTGTTAAAAATGGCGCTCCAAGGCGCATGCGTGGAAGGTGGTCTGTTTAGTAAGATGGAAGAGATTGTATTTCAGGTTTCGGGAGCCTATGAGGGTTGGAGTCCTGTGACCTGCCAGAGCAGGGGGCTATATTGTACATGTGAGGCCCAGCCAGCGATCTGCAAAGCACAAAGGAGGCAACCAAGAGGAAGCTGCAAGAACCTGCCTGGTCTAAATGTTGGTAGTCAGAAAATCAGAATATGCTACCTCCCAGAAGATAAATTCTCATATCTACCTCCTGGGAAGGGTACAAAACATGGCTCTTTTAAGACCCCAACACACACACACACACACACACACACACACACACACACACTCACCAGCAGGCATACTACTAGATTCCCTGCCAAAATTTCCACTGGGAAGGCAGACAAAGAAGGCCCAGGCCTGACACACAGTCACACTGGCTGAGCACCGCTCCTAGCCCATCCTCACGCAGATCACGCAAGCTCCAGCTGCACTGCTCCAAGAGCCTTAGGTCAGCTCGCTGATTTTCCAGTCTTCCAGCTCCCTATAATCAGATTTCACTCAGCAGGTGCTGGGAGCGGGGCCAAAAGGGGCTCCCCCGCGCAACAGAAAAGGAGGGATTTCAAAGGCAGTCGGTAGCAGGAGGTGGGGAAGGGCAGGAGGTCGAGAAGGGACCCTCACGGGCCACGCTGCGGACGCACCTCTCCGCCAGCGCCCGGCGCGCTCCGCGTCAGCGCCGCTTCCGGAACTCGGCTCCTGGGCGCTCGGTCTCCCCGGACGCTCCCGGAAGAGCGCGGCGCGGCGCGGTGGGCGGCGGAGGGGCGGGCGACAGGGCAGCGCTTTGTTCCCGGCTGGGATCCCGCGCCTCGCGGCCGCGGGCGACACCAGGGTCGCGAGTGGGCTGCGGCGCG